GATGTTTATCATTGAACAACATCCGACACATTCTGGCAAATATATTTAAATATTATCCTTACCAGTGGTGGTTGTAAGCAGACTATCGTCCGGCTTCATTTACTTTTTACCAGCATACATTCCCACCGCAATAGCTAAGTGCTGAAGTCACAACTGTAATTCAGCACTGCACTTTAAAGTGAACAAAAATGTTTTATTGCAATTGGCCCCAATCCCAGTACAAATCATTTCGCGAAATTTAGAATGAACAGTCTCCCGTCTTAACATGATTTGAAAAAGGGTATAATTGAGAAATAATGTGGGCTTTTTCTTATCAGTGCCCTTTGGCAAATACTCCTTAGTTTCCTCAAAAATCTTACCTCTCTATTTTGCAGGAGAATTAAGTTCGTATTCCTAAACTTTTCAGATCCCCAATTCGAAATGAATCTAAGAAAACTGGATGTGTTAGAGGCCACACAGGAAATGAAACTTCAACTGGAAGTATCCTTGAACTCTCCGGTAAGTTAGAACATGGTAAACCTGCCAGTGCATTCCACTTTCAAAAAGGAATTACAAATGTTTATGCGGTAGTTTTCATCTACAATTTGTCAGCCTGCTCCATTGACAATTTTGAGGTAGGAGCACATCCACCTTATACGTTTATAAGTAAATATCTACGGAAAAGAGCCGACGCTGGTTGATGGATATATACGTATGAAGCATAAAAACGGTGCTTTATTTATTACATACGTGCTTTTATGCATTAAACACTGTATCCTTAAATAACGCAGGGCAATTTGACTGCTCCTCATTACCACATTAAACTTCATACATATGGTGAAATTTCTAGACCTGTTGTCTTATAAATACATCCATCACTGAGAATAACCTAGGTTTAGTCAGAAATGCATAAGGGTTTCCTGTTTTCCAACAGTTCATTTTAGATCAACTGAACTGTTCAACGAGTACCCTGAAGCTCGTCCCTGACTGGCTGCCGGAGGACGCAGAGGCGACTGTCTTCTCCACATCTCCGGTTTACTTCGACTTTATGGCCCCCGCTGACATCGCCAGCCTGGACTTCCGACTCGTCTTTACATTTGATGAAACCGTTCGGGAAATCCCATTGAGGCTACCGAATCCAAGTGAGTCCCCCACGGGCATTACCTAAGAGCAAAGTAATCACTCGAGAAAGGGAATACCCTTCCTAGCAGCCAACAAGCAATAAGAAGCTAGAGTTTGTGAAGCTATTGTGACTTTGAAAGAGCGATGCTCTTAGGTTCTCTCAAGTCAAC